CAATCAAACCACCTGAGTAATGAGTTCTCTGCTGCAAAAATATTACTTTCTGGAGTGGCTTGAGGACTATTTCCCTCCTTCCACATCTCATTAGTAGTTTCCTTTTTATTCAGAAGAGGTAACTCCCTAACAAAGAGGCCTTGACAAAGGCTTGTTTCATCCTCGCAAATACATTCCCAGTAAGTGAGGTATTACAGGAAGGGACAGATCCAGGGAGCCTGACTCTACACTACATGCTGCTGAGAATTACTGTCTTTCTGGGCATTGTATCCATCATTGTATCAGGGTAGGAAATTGGTGAAGATCCCACCTAGTCTGACAAAGCCAAATGAGGTTAACACCCAGCCAAAACTAGAAATTGGGTAAGAAGATCAAATTTCATCTTTAAGGGAAAGGAATTTCAGAGGCCGTGTTAATTTCTATTACTCCAGGAAAAAAAGTTATGAACACTAAATAGTCATAGCCACAAGTACAGAGTACCTGGAGAGCAGCAAGGGTCACCTGTGTAAGGAAGAGTTCATAATTTCAGTTTAAGAGAAAATATGTTAAGAAAATTACCTGCTCTATTTGCTTATAATCATTAGCATTTCATAGAGCAAGAAAGCAACTAAATCATACTATTCTGGTGACCCTCTTCCTGAAGATCTTTGAAAAAAGGAATCCTTCCAACTTCCACATAAATTTCAGTTTTTAGTAAACCTCATAGTTTCAAAGTATTCTTATAGAGGAATCTTGACACAGAGGAGCAGTGAGTTATCAGAATACTAAGAAGACAGACAGCAGTTTGTTTATTAAGAAATTGTTAAAAATAACTATGTACCCAAGTTAAAATACCATACCTAAATCCTCCCAGCTACAGCTTACATCTCTTTACTCTTATCTTGGGTGCCATGCATAACAGAGAAGGATTTCTAAGCCAGTAACCACCGAATTCCTAAGACGTCCATGACAATAACTTCTCAACACATTTCTTCCCCTTTTGGAATACTCCAGCCCAAACCCATGGGCTTACAATAGCCCAGGAAGCATAAGACTACTGAGATCAACAAATCTGACAGCTCACCAAAGGAAACTCCTTGTGTATGGGCCTCAAATAACCTGACACATATGAATTAATATGACATTAAACCCAACTAAAAATATTAATCCAGAGAAAGGTGATTCCAATGAATAGGAAGTTTCTCTATCATGTTTCACTTGTAAGTAGGTTAACTTAGTTCTGCCTAACAGATAAGTTTCTGAGACACAGAGGGAATCAAACATAAATGTGTACAATTAACTTTGATACTTCAGAAATATCTCAATTTAATCACCTCTATGCATACCATTGTAAACAAATGAAGTATGCAAGAAAAGACCATTAAGCACAGAAACCTTACAGAAAATCTTTCTTTTTCTTGTGGACATCCTGCTGCATTCTTCCGGATCTAAATCAAATATCATGCCTTACAAAAAAACCTCCTCATAGGGCCTCAACAGAGGTAATCAGCAATCCCCTTTTCACCAGGAACACGTTGCTTATATTTCTAATAACCTATTTATTTCTTCCTATCTCCTAATAAACATGTTTTTAAGTCTCCAACTACAGCAGCCTTTGGTCATCATCATTCATATTAAGTGCTCATTATTTCTAAGTCACCAGACAGCATCTCATATATAATACACACATAAGGCAAGAGATTATCAGATCATTTCTCAATCACAAAAGTTTGGGTCTTCCCAACACATTTTTTTTTAATTAATGATTTTTAAGGAATAGGTAAAAAAATACAATCTCTTTTTATCTCCCTTCAAATCAGCCCCTTCTTCCTGACTTTCGTGTTTTTCCCAATGGCAAAACCACTAAGTCCTTAGAGTCTCCTGTGAGCCTTCTCTCTCTCTCATGTACACTGCAGTCTTGTGCTAATTCCTCCACAATATATTTTGCATTTGTTACCACTACCAATGTCCTTCTTCAATCCCTCTTCTGCTCTTATTGAGACGATTACAATAGATTCCTACCTGGACACATTTCACAATCAATACTAAGACAGACTCTAATAACAGAGTTTTTAAATATATAAAGAAAAGAAATCACACCTGCAGACACACAAAGTAAAAAGTTGAATATTTTAACAATCTTGTATCACTTATGGATAGAAACAATAAGGATAAATAAATCACCTCGGACAAAGAATACTGTGAAACAATTTGGCGTATGTGACATTTATAAAACATTTCAAGGTAAATGTAAAGCATACCTTATTTTCAAGTACACATGGAAAATTAACTAAGATAAAACAAGTGTCAGTAAATTTCGAAGGATCAAAATCAGGGAGAGTATATTCTATGGCCCCAAGGGTATTAAGTTAAAAATCAATAGTAAAATACCTAGGAAATTCTATATGTATTGGAAATTAAGTAGTATACTTCCTAAAAATTCATGGATCAAAGGAGAAATTATAAGAGAAATATTTTCTAATTCACATTCAATGATTAAAAAAATACAACATATCAAGTTTTGTAGAATGCACTTACAATATTATTAAGATGAAAATTTATAACCTTAAATGATTATATTAGGAAAGAAAGGTATTAAAATAAGGCTCCCAACTAAACAATCCAGAAAAAAAAGAGCAAATGACTCACTAAGTAAAAGGAAGGGAAAAATAAGATAAAGATCAATAAAACATTAAAAGACCAAGAAAAATATTTTAAACTCAAAGATTTTCTCAGGAAATATTAATAAATTAATAAAACCCACAACAAGACTTCTAAAGAAGAGAGAAAATAAATTACCGATACAAGAATATAATAGGAGGTATCAGTAAAGATAATATAGAAATTAAAGAATTAAGAAGAGGTTTTTATGAAAAATTTTAACCCAATAAATTTAACAAATTAGATGAAATGAACAAATAGCTTGAAAGGCACATATTAATAAAACTGACAAAAGAAGAAGTAGAAATTCTGAGTAGCCATATATCTATAACTTGAGCTTCCCAAATTTCCAAAATGAAAACTACAGGCCCAGAAGGCTTCATCAATGAATTCTATGATATGTGTAAAAAGAAATAATACAAACTCTACACAAATGCTTCAAAAAAATAAAAGGGAAAACATAACTTATTTTAAGAGAACATATTGTTACACTATTTTATACTTACTGTTATATTAACATTCAAAACGCATAAAGACATTATAAGAAAGGAAGCTATAGACCAATACTCCTCATGAACATACACTCAAAAATTCTTAACAGACTATTAATAAATAAAATTCACATGCAAAAGGGAAAGTACATTTTGACAAAGTGTAGTTTATCCCAGGAATTAGTTCAGTATATTAAGGCTAGTCTAATATGTACTAGAGATCCCAACCAGTAGAATAAAACAAGAAAAAGGAAAAAGGGAGAAGCAAAACTGTCCTCATTTGCAGATGACATGATCATGTACAAGGAAAACCCTGATTACTAAGGAACCAAAAACAATAAAAGCTACTGAAATTAATAACTTGGTTGACAAGCTTAACCAGGTGCAGGATACAAAGTAAATGATTTACAGGGTGACAATATTGATAATATTTACTAAAAGAAAAACTGGCTTGTAAACTAGTGTTAAATATAACAATCTGTAACATGTATAGAGATCATACAGAGTTCTATCTGTAAGTGCAATAATTAGATTCTATTGTACTATTAAAAAAATACAACAGCTCCTCTGACTTTTACTAATGGCAGAGTTTATATATTTCAGTTGCACTAACCAGCAATTATTAAAGGGTGGTTTGGGGACCATATGACACCCCTTAATAATAATACTAAGATATTATTTGCCTTATTCACACTCAATTTCTCATGAATGAAAAGTGCTGTTTTTCCAGATGTTACATGACATGTAATAACAACAGATTAAATGCAGAGGCAACCAATCTTTTTGTACTGGGAAATAGTTAAATTCAATTAATTTTATGCTAATATGTAATGGGTTTATAATAATTATTTCAAAGGAATACTTTTAAATATTCAGCTTTAACATCATAGATATTGATACATATAACATATATTAATAAAAGCTCTTTAAATTCTCAAAAATTTTAAGAATGTAAAATGGTCCTTATCCCCTAAAAAATAAGAATCATTGCAATATAGCAGTGGAAAATTTTTAAGTAGTACATATGGTGAGAATAATCTTGATCACAAAAATGAAAAACAAAAAATTTATTTGATAGGACTACCATATGTTAATGTTTAGTTTTTCTTAGTGGGACAATATATTAACCTTCTTTATGATTCTTAAATTAATAAAGTTCACCAATAAAGAAGACTTAAATCCAACAAAACGTAAGGCATACCAAAGATTCCCGAACATGCTGTTTTTCTTCTTCCCATCATGATACATCTCTAGTAGAGCAGAACAGAAAAGTAGTTTTCCAAGTCTCCTATCTAACTTTTAAAGTGAAGTATAGCTGACATAACAGACATAGTAAACCCTGTCCCACGTTCTCCCAAATTCTCCTCCCCTTAACTCTATTATTTTCACCATTATGCGTACAACCTTCTTTTATTACATTTTTTTTGTCACCCCACTCAAAATAATATAAGCTAAACAAGAGCAGGAATTTTTTCTGCTTAATTCACTAATGTATCACCAGCACCTATAATAATGCCCAAGACAACATAAGCACAGAGTAAACACTCACTGAATGAGTATCTGTTGAATATGTTTTGTCATTATACCAGGGAAGAGCAAATATGTCTTACTTACCAAGTTAACACTTGCAAACGACCAACAGACACAAGTGCTACGTATACAGGAGGGACAGAGCAGCTGCAGGAAAAACTCTCAAGATGGAACGGTTTTCTCTTCCAGACCCAGAAATGAAGGAAGATAAGAAGGCAAGAGACATAAAAAGGAGACAATTTGGAAACACTGTGAACTAGAGGCAAGAAAAACAAGTTTTCTTTCAATCTTAGGATTCCATGAACCAAAGAAAAAGAAAAGTAAGAGCAGCCAACACACCTCTCTTCTCCCGATGTATTTCTTCCAGAAGCTGCTCTTGTCTTTCTATCTGTTCAAAGAGACACTGGAGCTCAGATTCTTTGTTTTCCGTCAGATTCCTGAGTTGTTGTCTGTACAGCATCAACTGGTGCCGCAGACTTTTCTCTCTGTTTTCTCGCTCTTTCAGTTCCTCACAGAGCCACTGAAGTTTAGTCTAAAAAATAAACAAATAAATAAATGCCATTTATAACTAGTTTTTTAAAAATCTAGAAAACAGTAGTATTTATTGAAATATGAAATAAAAAGTCATAGTGAGCTAAATGATAGTAACTAAGAAATCTAAGCCAAAAAAATACCCAGAGGGTTTTAATTTGCATAATGTTTTATATCGGTTAAAAGCTGGTACAGAAATTAAGTCATGATTTGGTACACTATATTACCTTTGGAAAGGCAATACTTTAGAAAAGTTCTTAATCTTTTTGTACTGGGAAATAGTTAAATTCAATTAATTTTATGCTAATATGTAATGGGTTTATAATAATTATTTCAAAGGAATACTTTTAAATATTCAGCTTTAACATCATAGATATTGATACATATAACATATATTAATAAAAGCTCTTTAAATTCTCAAAAATTTTAAGAATGTAAAATGGTCCTTATCCCCTAAAAAATAAGAATCATTGCAATATAGCAGTGGAAAATTTTTAAGTAGTACATATGGTGAGAATAATCTTGATCACAAAAATGAAAAACAAAAAATTTATTTGATAGGACTACCATATGTTAATGTTTAGTTTTTCTTAGTGGGACAATATATTAACCTTCTTTATGATTCTTAAATTAATAAAGTTCACCAATAAAGAAGACTTAAATCCAACAAAACGTAAGGCATACCAAAGATTCCCGAACATGCTGTTTTTCTTCTTCCCATCATGATACATCTCTAGTAGAGCAGAACAGAAAAGTAGTTTTCCAAGTCTCCTATCTAACTTTTAAAGTGAAGTATAGCTGACATAACAGACATAGTAAACCCTGTCCCACGTTCTCCCAAATTCTCCTCCCCTTAACTCTATTATTTTCACCATTATGCGTACAACCTTCTTTTATTACATTTTTTTTGTCACCCCACTCAAAATAATATAAGCTAAACAAGAGCAGGAATTTTTTCTGCTTAATTCACTAATGTATCACCAGCACCTATAATAATGCCCAAGACAACATAAGCACAGAGTAAACACTCACTGAATGAGTATCTGTTGAATATGTTTTGTCATTATACCAGGGAAGAGCAAATATGTCTTACTTACCAAGTTAACACTTGCAAACGACCAACAGACACAAGTGCTACGTATACAGGAGGGACAGAGCAGCTGCAGGAAAAACTCTCAAGATGGAACGGTTTTCTCTTCCAGACCCAGAAATGAAGGAAGATAAGAAGGCAAGAGACATAAAAAGGAGACAATTTGGAAACACTGTGAACTAGAGGCAAGAAAAACAAGTTTTCTTTCAATCTTAGGATTCCATGAACCAAAGAAAAAGAAAAGTAAGAGCAGCCAACACACCTCTCTTCTCCCGATGTATTTCTTCCAGAAGCTGCTCTTGTCTTTCTATCTGTTCAAAGAGACACTGGAGCTCAGATTCTTTGTTTTCCGTCAGATTCCTGAGTTGTTGTCTGTACAGCATCAACTGGTGCCGCAGACTTTTCTCTCTGTTTTCTCGCTCTTTCAGTTCCTCACAGAGCCACTGAAGTTTAGTCTAAAAAATAAACAAATAAATAAATGCCATTTATAACTAGTTTTTTAAAAATCTAGAAAACAGTAGTATTTATTGAAATATGAAATAAAAAGTCATAGTGAGCTAAATGATAGTAACTAAGAAATCTAAGCCAAAAAAATACCCAGAGGGTTTTAATTTGCATAATGTTTTATATCGGTTAAAAGCTGGTACAGAAATTAAGTCATGATTTGGTACACTATATTACCTTTGGAAAGGCAATACTTTAGAAAAGTTCTATAGAAACTTTTCTATAGAATACTATAGAAAAGTTCAGCCTGCTAAACTTTCTATCATAATACAATTAGCCCCCTAATTTGACATACAAGGCAGTCTAGTATATCATTTGAAAATAAAAAACACTCCAGAATAGAACTGGAGTCTTGTTATAAAGGAGAATTTTACTTCAGAAATTTAAAAAGAGAATAAAAGTCCTAGTTTTGGTTCCTAAAAATGTATAGGCCCAAGGGTCCAGCTAATCAAATAGAGAGAGAGATCCTCTATAGCATGAAGGAGATAAAGTCAATATTTTTCCACATTTAAAAGACTAGGATATTCAATCTAAGTAACTCTCCTTTCCATAGATTCTAACTTCATCATCTTTAATATGTAAATAATTAGAGCGGATGAAAAAAAAAATTTTTCTTCTACTTTCAATAGAACAGGATTTCAGTCAGATCTTAGGACCTGCCCAAGTGAGGCCACCCTTCAAAGTCTACTTGATTTTAAATAATCTAAAGTCTTTATTTCAATAAATCACAAAATGAGGTAAGCAGTGGAGTAGAAGGGAAAATTAGGCTAAGCTAAGGGACAATTTCCCTGGATAGCACTCATCTGTAAGAAAGTTCTAGGCCTCCAGAAGTCAGGGAGGTTCTCAGGACACACCACAGCATGTTAACAGTAGCTGTGATAGAACAGTTTAGGCTATGATGAAGTGGGACTGGGATATGGCCCCTAGACTGGGGGCTCCCCACATACATCAGCTTTCAAACATCCCCACAACTGAAAAAGAGGCACAGTTCCTTTGGTGAGAAGATCTGTCTAGAAAACGGTACCTCTGTGACATAAGACAGATATCATCATTAGTCAAATTAACAAAACATTATACAATATCATAAGATAACTGATGTATATATCAATTACTTGTGAATTTGTTGGGTGGGGGGGAAATCATGCTTGTAAAGGCAAAACTTAGATCATATTTACTAATATAAATTCTTATCAAAAACAAACTTGATAGAAGTTCTAGGTCTCCAGAATAATAAAGAGTTCTGAAGAACTATTCTTTAATGAAATACCTGTAACTGCTGAAAAAAATTTTTTTTAATTAAAGTCTCTAGAAATTGTTCTAAGGCCATATAGCAAATGAAGAAACATGTATTCAAGAAACTCTATCAGATTTCATTAACAACCTCAAATTCTGTGGCATTTGAGCTATCACTGACTCTCACCTTTCTACCCTACGTTATAAAAGCTGCACTCCTCATCCCAGAAAGGTACTGCCAAGAAGATAGGGCTCCCTATCCCCAAGTTCACCGTCAAGGTATCTGACATTGTGACATAGAAAGATATTTTTTCTTTTTTCTGTGGTTCCTGGCACAAAGCTCCTAAAGCCCTTGGAATTTCCAGAGTGATAGAAGGACCTTTATTATTCATAACAAGCCCTTTTGATCGCTCCTGAGTTTATGCTAATGAGGTATCTTTAGAAGGGGTCCCCAGACAGCCTCAACATGGACCTGGTGATTAGCAAGTAGGAGCCTTTCAGCTCTACTCCTGAACCTCTAGAAAGGCGGTAGGTGGGCAGGGAGAGTTTGGAGATTAAGCTCTATGAAGACTCTTGATGACAATGAGATCTGAGAAGCTTCCAAGTTAGTGAACAACACATCCACATGCCAGGGTGATGTATTCCAAACTCCCTGGGGACAGAAGCTCCTGTGCTAAGGACCATGGACCTTGTCCTACACACCTCTTCATCTTGCTGTTCATTTGTATCCTCTGTAATTAACTGGTAATAGTAAGTAAAGTATTTCTCTTAGAGCTATGATTATAGCAAATTTTTAACCTGTGAAGGGGACTATGGGAACCCCTGATTTACAGCCAGGTCAGATAGAAGTGTAGGTAACCTGGGGATCCACTACTTGATTAGCATCTAAATTGGGTTCAGTCTTGTGGGACTGAGCCTTAGTCTATGGGATCTGCACTAACTCTGGGTAGTTAGTGTCAGACTGAATTAAACTGCAGGACATCCAGTTGGTGTCTGAAGAAAATTGGAGAATTATTTGGTGTGGAAAACTCACACCTTTGGGTCAGAGTATGTGAGTAGAAACAGATCATAATAATGACTATATCTCTGGAAGGGCAGACAGACCACTAGGATTTTTCAGCCTCACAGCTCTAATTTGTGGAGACTAAACTCCTATCAAGTGAGTGGAGATCCTGGGAACTGCCTCCTCCACCAATCCCCGCCAATAGGCTGACCACTTCTCCTTAGACACAGCAGGTTGAAAATACTAGGGTCCTAACTGTCATTTCCCCAGATTGCTTATAATGCTGTGGTATGAATATAGATATTTTAAAATACTCTACTAATAAGCAGAATTCAGCAACACATAAAAAAGTTTTTATAGTATGACCAAGCTGGATTTATCCCAGGAATACACGGTGTTGCCATAATGAAAGATCTGAATATCAATTATAATATACCATATTCATATGGGGACAAAAGCCACATGATCATACCAAAAGGTGTAGAAAAAGCATACAATGAAAATCAATAACGACTCTTCATGAAGACACTCAAAAAACTAAGAATAAGAGAAAAATTTTCAACCTGATAAAGATGTTTATTAAAAACCCACAACTATTATCATACTTAATGGTGAAAGACTGAATGCTTTCCCCCTAAGACTGAAAGCAAGAAAAGGATGTCTGCTCCTACCACTTCTAACATTGCATTAGCAGGTTACAGCAGGACAATTATACAGGAAAATGAAATAAAATATATATTGAAAAGAAAGTATTAGATATTTTTGCATGTATCTGCAGATGACATGCCCCATATAAAAAAATCCTAATGATTCCACTAAAAACCTATTAGAACAAATAGAGAGTTTAACAATGCTGCAGTATATAAGAGCGACATACATAAATCTTATTTCTATATATTTGAATGATCAATGCAAAAATGAAATTAAAAAGAGAATTGTATTTACAGTAGCATCAAAAGGATAAAATACTTAATACACTTCCAAAAAATAGTGTAAAACTAATACTCTGAAAATTACAAAATATTGCTGAAAATAACTAAAGACAACCTAAAGAAATGGGAAGCTATCTCATGAACATAGATTACACTTTATAACTGTTAAGATGGAAATACTCTCCAAACTGATCTACAGATTCAACACAATTCCTATTAAAACCCCAGCTAGCTTCTTTGAAGTGATCCAAAACTTCAAATGGCATTTGAGGGACCCAGAATAGTCAAAAGATTAAAAAAAGAAAAAAGGTATTGAAAGAGAACAAAGTTGGAGGCCTCGTACCCATTTCAAAGCTTACTACAAAGCTACAGTAATCAAGAAAATGTGGTACTGGCAGAAAGATAGACAGATAGATCAATGGAATAGAATTGAGAGTTGAGAAATAAACCCTTACACATATCCTCAATTGATTTTCAACAAGGGTGCCAAAATAATCTGATGGGAAAAAAATAGTCTTCAACCAACAGTGCTGAGACAACTAACTATCCACCTGAAGAATGGAGTAGGTCCCATACTTCATACAATATACAAAAATTAACTCAAAATGGGTCAGAGACCTAAATGTAAAAGGTAAAAATATAAGACTCCTAGAAAAAAACATAGCCATAAGTCTTTGTGACCTTGGTTTGGTAATGATTTCTTAGCTATGACACCAAAAGCACAAGCAACCAAAGCACAAAGTTTATAAATTAAGACTTCATCAAAATTTAAAACATTGTGAGTCAAAGGTCACAATGAACAAGTGAAAAAAAAACCTGCTGAACAAGAGAGAGTATTTGTAGACTATATATCTGAGAAAAGATTTGTATCTAGGATACATAAAGAGCTCAGTAATAAACAGAGAAATAATGAATTAAGCAAAAGATCTAAATAGGTATTTCCCCAGTGAAGACATATAAATGGTCAATAACTACGAGAAGATGCTCAGTATCGTTAGCCATCATAGAAACCCAAGTCAAAACTGCAGTGAGATTCCATTTCACATACGTCAGGATAGCTATAATCAAAAAGACAGATGATAACAACTATTGGTATATATATAGAGAGAAACTGGAATTCTTATATACTGATGGTAGGAATGTACAATGGTGCAATCATTCTGTAAAACAATCTAGCTATTCTTCAAAAGGGTAGAACATAGTTACCACATAACCCAGAAATTACATTCTTAGTGTATATCTAAGAGAAATGAAAACATATATTCATGCAAAAAAAAAAAATGTATACTGGAATTTTCACAGCAGCATTATTCATGATAGCTAAGAAGTGGAAATTACCCAAATGAACATCAACTGATAAATGGATGTAGAAAATGTGGTATATCTATACAATGGTCTATTATTGGCAAGAAGAAGCGAAGTAATGGTACAAACTATAACACAGATCACCTTGAAACTATTCCACTACATAAAATAAATCAATCATAAAGGACCACATACTATATGATTCCATTTATATGAAATGTTCAGCCAAATCTATAAAGACAGGCTTACTTGTTGACTAGGGTTGTGAAACTAGATAGGATGGGCAGATTAGGAGACAATAGCTGAAGAGTCCAGATTTTTATTTTCTGTGATGAAAATGTCTGAAACCCTTGTGATGATTGCAAATCTCTATGAATATACCAGAAACTGTTGAATATTACATGATAAATAGGTGAATGGTATGGCATGTAAATTATGTCTCAATTCTGCTGTTACTTAAGAAACAAAACAAAACAAA